TTAAAATATTTGGAAAATATTTGAACCCCTTGTCTTAAAATATTTTATTCATCATGTTAAAATAAAACGTTCCATAATTTAAAAAAATCTTTTCTTTTTTCAACTTTTCCAATTTTTTGGAAAAAAAACAAAAAAGGCTTCAGGAAAAAAACAGGGGGAAAAAGTTTTTTTCCTGAATTTTTCCGTTTTTTTCCGGGCCTTCACATCTCTACCTCCCACCGTGGACCAGGAAAGGTGAGGGGGTTGTCAGTGGCCTTCTTCCAGGCCCTGCGCCTAGGCACGGGCCAAGAAAGGTGGGGGGGGTGACCTGTGTTCCCTCTAAGCTGAGTTAGTGTGAGCTAGCTCACAGTTTTTTAGCCTCCAGCTCACACATTTTTGTCTTCGCTCAGGAAGGATGGCTCCAGAGCAAAATAATGGTATAAAATTGAGTAAAATCTAAGACTATAAAACCATAAAAAACGAAGTTATAAGCAATTAATTGAATTGGTTACATGAAACTGCCTTATACAGTGCCAAACTAACCTAGTGCCATATACTGCGGGGGTCCCCAACGCGGTGCCCACGGGCATCATGATGCCTACCAAGTGTATTTAGAAAGCGGGTGGGAGCTGGTGGGGCTGTTACCCAGCAGGGCTTCTGATTGGCAGCTGAAGACTCCATCCGCGACACAGATTAAAATAACATCGTTTCAGTGGCAACTGCCACCACAGTGTTTGTTTTATTTTCTCTTGTCCCTTTCCCCCAGTGTAGTTTAAACACCCATTCCCCCTGCACTTGGACTCCCTCTATGGATGCGGCTCCACCTCCTGAGGGAGCCGTTTTGTGGCTGGCTCCACCTCTTTCTGCAGACACTGTGTTGTACCCATCACTCTGTGTCAGAATTCCAAATGTGCCCACCGGCTCAAAAAGGTTGGGGATCCCTGGTCTGCTGAGACCCTCGTTAATTGGAACATGCCAAGGACTGAACGTAGAATCTTGCACGTGCAAAGCACACGATCAACCACCCTCCATCGTGGCCTGCTTGCCAGCTTCCCGCAGGCATCCGGCCACTGCAGGAGACGGTGCCATACCGCTAACACAAACGTGACCTTCTTATCGGCTGCAGCCAGTCTATCGGAGCCAATGCTCCCTCTAAGCTGTGGAGTCCCGTGAGCAAAAATTCTACTTTGTGAGCTGCTGGCGTTCAAGTGGTGAGCGAGCGATTTGGCCACTGCATAGATTAGTTTGCTCTGGAGCCATCCCTTCTGAGCTAAGACAAAAATGTGTGCGCTGGAGGCTAAAAAAATCTATGAGCTAGCTCACACTGACTCAGCTTAGAGGGAACACTGATCGGGGTCCACCTATTACCTGGAACTTGAATGATCTCCATCCTGTCCAACAACGCCGGGGGGATGGTCGCCATGGTGTTGGCTGTGGCTATGAAGAGGACCTGCGACAAGTCGAAGGCGACGTTTAAGTAGTGATCCGTGAAGCTGTGGTTTTGTTCCGGATCCAAGACCTTGAAGGGAGAGGGGGGAGACAGAAGACACAAAGAGAAGAGTTTTAATCTTGAAATTTGAATCACCATTTAAAAAATAAAATAAAAAATGAAGAGATAATTTCCATAGGTGGCTCACTGTACAGGTCAAAAGATTTACCAGGGAAGTACTTCTTCACCCAAAGAGTAATTAACACGTGGAGCTCACCACCATAGGAAGTAGTGGCGGCTACAAGCACAATTTCAAAAGGGGACTGCATGAAAATATGGAGCAGAAGCCCATCAGTGGCTATTAGCCACAAGGTACAGCCAGAACACTATGTCTGGGGCAGTGATGCTCTGTCGTCTTGATGCTTGGGGGCAATGTTCCCTCTAAGCTGTGGAGTCTTGTGAGCAAGAATTCTACTTTGTGAGCTACTGGCATTAAAGTTGTGAGCAGGCGATTTGGTTACCGCATAAATTAGTTTGCTCTGGAGCCATCCTTCCTGAGCTAAGACAAAAATCTGAGCCGGAGGCTAAAAAACTGTGAGCTAGCCCACACTAACTGAACTTAGAGGGAACACTGCTTGGGGGGGGGGACAGTGGGCAGGGCTTCTGGGGTTCTGGACCTGCCCGTGGACCTCCTGATGGCCCCTGGGTTTTGGCCACTGTGCGACGCAGAGTGCTGGACTCGATGGGCTATTGTCCTGATCCAGCATGGCTTCTCTTATGTTCTTATGGAAGCAAACCCAGGGCTAAGGCACAGTTTTCTAAAAAAATCTAAACAGTTTCTAAAAGGGGGTGGGGATGACCACCCCCAAGCAAAGTAGGAAAAAGTGACTTTCTGGAGAGAAAAAATAACATGCAATGTTCCCTCTAAGCTGTGGAGTCTTGTGAGCTACTGGCATAAAAGTTGTGAGCAAGCGATTTGGCTACTGCAAAAATCAGTTTGCTCTGGAGCCCTCCTCCCTGAGCTGAGACAAAAATCTGTGTGCCAGAGGCGAAAAAACTGTGAGCTAGCTCACACTAACTCAGCTTAGAGGGAACACTGCAGCAACCCAAAATGGCATCCAATGTTGCATGGCCTCCAACGGGAGGTGTAGGGGGCCAAAGTAGGGAATAAGGAAGGTGAGGGGGGGAAAGGCTGGGGTGAAGGGAGAAAAGAGGATGGGATGGAAAGCCAAAGGTCATGGGGAATAAAACCGTCAAGGTATATGAGAGGGGAAGGGGAAAAAACCACAGTGGGCAGCAGGTCTGGACTAGGGAGTGAAAATGGGCCTGGAGGAAGCCAAGTAGTGCAGCTCTTGGGTGCGACAGTCCCTTGCTTTAGGGGCCCCGCAGCTCACTGGTGTTAACCATGGGGGCATCAGCTCGCCCACTGCTTCCTCCTGCAAACAGAAAGCAGTGTGGAAGGAGGGTGAGACTGATCACCATTGCTGATGCAGGGTCTGAGCTGAGTGGCCCCTGGCGTGTCAGCGGAGCGGCTGGAACTAGATCTGCCGACTCCTGACCGCCTGCGGAGCGGTGGCCCACCAGGGAATTTGCCGAATATGTTAAATGGCCCGTCTGCCCCTGGTGGGGAGAGAGGAAACATGGACCAGCAAGGGGTAAGAGTAGTAAATGGGGGAGCAGGGGCAAAGTGGGGAGAAGGGGAGACTGTGTGGGGAAAGGAGCCAGCTGGGAGGGGGGGGAATGGGATTTCCTCACCCCTGCCATGTCCTCAGGCATCAGGGTAAAGCAAGTAGCACAAGGGGGGGAAAAATTCTACCTGGGTATAAAGCCCAAAGATGGATTCTAGTACACTCACAAGCCTGCACACCATCTTGTGTTATTTCGGCTAGTCTTACTAACAGGTATTACGTGACATTTGTTTTGGTATTTTGCTATGGACCAACACAGCCAGACGCATAGAATCACAGAATCATAGAGTTGGAAGGGACCTCCAGGGTCACTTAGTCCAACCCCCTGCACAATGTAGGAAATTCACAAATACCTCCCCCCCACACACACATCTGCAGTGACCCCTGCTCCATGCCCAGAAGATGACAAAAAAACCTCCAGGATCCCCAGCCAAACTGGCCTGGAGGAAAATTGCTTCCTGACCCCGACATGGCAATCAGCATTTCCCTGGGCGTGTAAGGAAGGGCCACGAGAACTAAGCACTGAGGCAACCCTTCCTGCCCTCCCTTCTCATGATCTGCCCGAGTTCACACAATTGGCATTGCTGTCAGACGGGCCATCCAGCCTCTGTTTAAACACCTCCAAAGAAGGGGGTTTATCTGCAGCTAGAAAAGTATCATACATCTACGCATTGGCATTTATCCACATCCGGCTTTTCTCCCCTGCTGGAGTTCAAGGTGGCCTGGAACGCCGTTCTCCTGCCCACTGTTTTCCCCACAACAGCCACATGAAGTACACCAGGCTGAGAGTTTGTGACAGGCCCGAGATCAACCAGTGAGCTTCCACAGTAGAAGTGGGAATTCGAACCCGGCCCACCCAAGGTCCTAATCCACCACTGTCCACTTATAGCAACTGGCTCTATGGCCTCCTTTTCATTGCTACAGCTCTAAATGCTACGACAGAACAGTAAAAAAAAAAATAGGAGGAAAAACCGTGACACATGCAGAATCTTTGATGTAAACTTGAAATGAACTATCCGATCCCAAGGTTTCCTCCAGCACATTTATGCCTTGCCATAAAATCAAGCTTGCGTGGAGGAGACATGCTAAGCTCCCTTTCCTCCTGGGGACCTGGCAGAACGAGGCTTTCCTCCTCTAAAGACTGGCTCCTCACATGGGAGAGAAGAGGCAGGTGGTGGCAGAGAAGTTGAGCTGCCCTCAAATTTACCGCAGAGGTTTCGGAATCTCGTGTTTTATTGCTGTTGTTGTTTTAAAGTCGCGCAGACGCATGGCGCCCTGCACCAGACAAACAGAAAATCACTACTCTTCTCTGCTGAATGTGCTTACAGGGTTATCCGACCTGCTTCAAGTCGATGTCCGCCACAGTTCAGTTTATCCAGAAGGAGCTATTATGATCTCAAAACACTCTTGCTGTAAACGTTTTATGGGAAGCCATTCCGTGTGTGTTGCTCCGCATCGGGTCAACACTCGCCTTTTGGAAGGCGGTTGCGTAAACACTCCGCTGTCTCGGGAAAGTTCTTGCACATTCTGCCCGGGGGCAGAAACAGCACTGAGCGAAACAAGTCAAAACCGGAAGCAGAGAAAGTTCACAGATGCTCTTTTCCATAACAGCAAAGAGGTGCGGTGATAACGCACCATATATGTACCTCCTAACAGAAAAGCTATTGCCTGTCAGAACCCACAGCCAACAACAAAGTACACGCATTCAGGAACGGTTATACTTTTATTGCAGAGCTATAGATGCAGTAACATAGGCATTGTTAAGAATGGCGGCGGCCCCATGGGCATAATAAGATATAGGGTATTCGTATGCACCCCCCCACAGTACTGGCCAATTAGGCGGCCTCACGTGCACGGGCTAAGGCTCAGAGACCGTTAGTTAGCTGAAGCTGAGAACGAACACTCTCCCACGGCACCTAATGAAATCCCAGACACTACAACACCCTCCCGCACATCTGTATAGATAAGCGTTTCGGCGCACAGCAGAAAAAGCACAGAAAGGAATGCAATAGCAATTAACCTGAAAGGAAAGCAATAGCAATTACCCAGACACAGACCAACCTCCCCAACTTTCATGGCAGCATAGCTGACATCGCCTAATAAACAACAGACAAGGTGATGGGGGGGGGGCGGGAATTCACACTCAGTGCGTGTTTGGGTACTTGCGCATAGGAATTCTGGGGCATTTTATATGTATCCTTTAAAAATAAAGGTACTATTAAGAGGGGGGAAGCCCTGATCTGGATGGCCCAGGCTAGCCCAAACTCGGAGGCTAAGCAGGGTCAGCCATGGTTGGTACTTGGATGGGAGACCAGCAAGGAAGTCCAGGGTCACTCTGTAGAGGAAGACAATAGCAAACTGCCTCTGTTCTCCTCCTGCCTTGAAAACCCTACAGGGTCGCCGTAAGTTGGCTGTGACTTGACTGAGCTTTCCACCACCACCACCACCAGGAGGGAAAAGTTAGAAGCTGCGACTGCAGCAGGCAGGCAGGCAGGCAGGGCCGGGTTGTCAGACTAGCATGTTGGCCGGCTGCCCTGTCCCTCACCCGCCCGCCCAGCCAAGCAATCCCTGCCTAACGCCCTCCTTTCTCAGACTGACTGACACTGGTTTATGGTACTCTCATTGGATCTGGGCCGAGGGTTTTCAACGGCTAGGTATGCTTTCCACTGGCCCAGGGCCAATGCTCCCTCTAAGCTGTGGAGTCTTGTGAGCAAAAGTTCTACTTTGTGAGCTCCTGGCATTAAAGTTGCGAGCGAGCGATTTGGCCGCTGCATAGGTCAGTTTGCTTTGGATCCGTCCTTCCTGAGCAAAGGCAAAAATGTGTGAGCTGGAGGCTAAAAAACTGTGAGCTGGCTCACATTCACTCAGCTTAGAGGGAACACTGCCCAGGGCCCCCCAAAAAACTGGGAGACAGCCCTGTTCCTACTGCTTTTTGTGAGCGAGGTCCCCAAGAGGAGGGTAGGCAAAGCCAGAGTGAATGGAGAATGGCAAGGGCTCGCTCCACAGTCAAAATGTCAACCACCTGTGGTTTTTTAACGGGCGTTAGTCATGTATGGCTGCGAGAGTTCGACTATCTTGAGAGTCCCTTGGACTGCAAGAAGATCAAATCAGTCAATCCTAAAAGAAATCAACCCTGACTGTTCCCTGGAAGGCCAGATAATGAAACTGAAGCTCAAATACTTTGGCCACCACATGAGAAGGGAGCCCTCACTGGAGAAGACCCTGATGCTGGGAAAGATTGACGGTCAAAGAAGACAGGGACGGCAAAGGATGAGATGGTTAGACAGTGTCATAGATGCAACGAACATGAAATTGAGCAAACTTCAGAGGACAGCGGAAGACCGGAGGGCCTGGCAGGATGTGGTCCATGGGGTCGCAAAGAGCCGGACTCGACTGTGCGAC